CCCCCCCCGTTTGCACCTTCATTGGAAAACTTAGACTAACAAACTTAAATATTGGAATGAATGCCTGAAAATGATACATCGCTCCCATCTTTGGATGGATGGAATTAAAAAATCCTAAGGACCTTTTCAGAAATGCTGATGCAAGCTAGCATCAATGTGTTGTAATAGTTACCATAAGCAGCCTTTACACATCTTATGGCTTCTGATCATAATTTTTCTTTTAAAGCAGCAGCATTAGAGTAAACTTGGAGTAGTGATATTTCTAGAACATTACATTTAAACATTCCATAGAAATATTAAGTAAAGATTAAATTGTAGAAAGCTTTTTGTTAACTTGAGGTTCCAGTTCCTAATGACCAATAGAAGACAGGAAATGTGAAAAATGGCTGAAACCTGCTGGTCTACAAAATGGCAAATCCTGACTTGGGACACCCTGTAGTCAGCCCAGATATCCAGAAGTGCAGCCAAGTTCTATGATGCTACTTTGTTACTTCTGGCTCTTGCAGTTGGTTTCTTCATAGCTTGGTGATGTAGCATCAGTAGGACGTCAGAGCCACTGTAGCAAGCTCTTTACTAGGTTCCCCCCAAGGTGGTTAAATGTAGCTAAAGTGGACCTCACAGAGGTGACCACCTAAAGGGGACTTGCAAAGGGCACATGGGGTTCAGTATGACTCAAAATTGGATGCAAGAACTGCATGCAGGAACTGGCCAGCCTGCAATCTTGTCCTGAAAAAGGAGTGTTGGTTTAGCACATTGTATACGGGCACTGGCACCCACTTTACATAGAGGGTGTCTTTATGCAGAGCTAGGCCTAATAAGAAGTAAAATGCTGTATGAATTATACCAATAGCTACCTTGAGGTTTTAACAAATTAGCCTTTTTTGGTTTGAACAGAATGTCCAGAGAATAAAAACTTAGAGATTTACACATGTAATCATCCTCATTAAATGGTTTGAAATCTGAAAGTACAGGTAGTAGCACTGCATGCCAGTGTCCTCTTCTGCTGAAGTGTGTGTTTTGAATGTTGTTTGTTCCTATTTGGGTAGGTTTGTTAAGAAGAGTAAGAAATTCTGAAATATAGCTAGTGATGGAGGTCTGCATTGCTTTCCTTCATGAAAACATGCTTGTCTGCCCCACCGTGGAAGCTCTGTGAACAAGGTTTCCATTTGGAATGTATCACCTGCACACATACTGTTGTTACTTAAATTTTACTTCAAGGAATTGGAAGTACCAGTTTCAAACCTAAAATTTACAAGATAAATTGCAAAGTCCTTGCACTAGTGACACTTGTGATAGAACAGGGAGGGTGATATTGGCCATCTTTGCACTGCTAAGAAGTCACAAGTGAATAGGTACAGCTGCAAATAGGCAAATTACAGTAATGGCCAACAGCAGGAAACAAAATAGTTGTTCTTCATCTCAAATTTTGTAACCCAATGCAGTTCTTTGCTAAATGCAGGACTTCTGTTTCCCAAGCATTTGAACTGGCTGACCATCTCATTCACTAGCTCTGGAGTAAGTATGACACACCATGAGGAGAGTACGTCATAAAAGCTGCTTTCCTTTAAAAGGATTTGTTGTTAAAAAGGTTGTGGGGTGTCTAACCAGAACAACAAATGCATGTTTCCTAAAAAGTTGACCTCTCTGACTCAAGTTCTGCACAGGAAATGCCTGCAGAACAGCAGGAGAGAGTTATCTTGACAGAGCTGTGATATTTTACAGTAATCAATGAAAACAAGAGATTTCCATGTAAAGAAGGCTCCCAAAAGTTGTACTTAAAGCTCTTGACTTTTGCTTCAGATAACTTGCTTATTGCTGTTCCTCCACCCCTCCATACCACTGCTTGCTGCCGTATATTTGATGCTGGTCAGCCTTCCTGTGCTGTTTTGGCAGCATACAGGATCATGTGAATTTTACCAACGCTTTGCCAATATCCCAGACAATATTAGAGCCGTAGTGTTTTGGGTATCCTTCACTAATCTGAGCTGTTCAGGCTCAAGCAAGTACAAATAAATCCAGGTGATGACATGAGTTGATGGTAGACAACCTTGTGCTATTGAGTATAGTTACTTGCCCTACCATAACTGGTTCCTCCAGATGAAAGGTCACAGCATCCTCAGGGAATACACGCCTCTCCTGCTGTGATAGAGATCTTGATAGGTGGACTCTGAGGGAAGTTGAGTTTGCTCTTAGCTGTAAGTTATGAGGAAATCATACACACAGATCATGGTCCTAATGAATACTTTTGTACAGAAACCTCGAACAAGTAAGCCAAGACTTTCTGCTTTCACAGATATGCTTGCTATAGAATTGGAATATGAGTGGATAGCATAGCTTCCCTAACATTTCTCAAGGAGATACCTGTTTCTTTTTTAAAGAGGAGGAGGGTGTTTTTCTGTACTTGAAAGAATCCAGGTCTGTTTTGGAAGAAATACATACCTTTTCCCTGCAGTAGAAACCTGTACTGTATTTGACTGGCAAAGTAGAGATGATAGCTACAGTATTCTTACATGTGGACTCTTCCAGCCAGAATAGAGGCTTCCTGGATTTATGAAGGCTTAATCTGTGGCCAGGTGTGACTTCATGTCTGCTTTGCTAATTGTTGTAATGAGATTTTTGCTTTCTGTCAACTTGAAGTGTTGAGTTAAATTTGTCTGCCAGAAGCTTGGTGTGAAGGCAGGTCAGGTCTGCCTCCAGTGGCACTGGGATATTTAGGTTATCTGTGAGTTTGAAGATATTTCCTGTTAATAAATGTGGTGAAAGTGATTCTGACTTGGGAGTTGCATGATGGAGGAACAGCTGTAGGGCACACTTCTCTTACTGAGGGGCTGTCACGTAGCACTTCTGTTTTCCTCTGCCAGTTTGCAAGAGGATTCTTTAGATTTAAGATCAGAAACACATTGCCATGTCTTATTTATTTTCTCAGGGTTGTCTTCATCTTGTCTTCAGTCAGCTGGCCAAGTAATCAGAGCCTTCTCTTTTCTAGGCTAAATATCTTCACATACTATCATTTTGTTCTAGAATTTTATAACTAATAAACCAGTGTCTTTTCAGCCTCTTAAAGGTTCACAGCCTCGTCTGCATGTTAGTGCTGGTTGACTATGACAAAGATGTGGCAAACATTCAGTTAACAGATGCTTTTCCATTGGGAACTGAGGTCCTTCAGATTTGCCTACTCTTCATCTTGTTTGATTTTTATATACCCTTTTTCTGTAATATTTTGTAAAACCAGGAGCGGTTTTGAATGGGTTGTTAAAGGTAACAATTTTTTTCTTTGAGAGGAGAAAAAAACATTTAGGTGGTCTACATGTTCCTTCCAGATGCATTCTGTGTGTTTGCGGAGTGCTACTACAGAATGTTTTTAAAATATTAGTATTAAAAGGTTTTATTAGAAAGAATTTGGTCTTCAAAATTCAAGACGTGAATAACTGTATAAATGCTTTGTAATGATAACTATCTAATATTTGCTTTTTCTTTTAATATTTATTAACTTCACATTCTGTTAGGGGTTTTTCTGTGCAGCTCAGATTACAAACTGTTTTATCTCGGTCCCTACAGTGTCATTTCTTACTAGAAGCAGAACCATCACAAGTCATGGGTCTGAACCATTTTGAGGGTCAAGGCAAAGTTTGGGTTCTCTATTTGTATGAAAACATAAGTATGATTTTCTCTGCGAGTCTATTGCTTGAGTTTATAATATGTGCGTGCTGGAACTGTACATGGAATTTGGTCCTCTGGTGATGGTGCATGGTACAAGGAAGGTGTAAACTCCATGTAATAAATGTTTTAAAATTATGTCAGTTTTCAGGCTCTGAAGGCCTAGTGAAAATCAGGAGCTGTCACTTTGTGCCTTCTCTTGAAGGTCTAATGAAATGTACCTCTGTATCAGCCCTCTGATGCATTTTTTAATTGGTTTGGTTGAGCACTAAGTATGTTGTCTTTTTCTTTTTTTCTCCTCAGTTGAGTATTGAACAGGCCCAGGCTGTGGCAGAGCAGGTTGAGATGAAGGCGAAGGTGGTACAATCTGAAGTCAAAGCAGTGACTACAAGACATAAGAAGGCTTTGG